GAGGAGGAGGACGAGGCGGCGGCAGGGGCCGCTGGGCAGTCCAGCTCATCGGGGAATGTTCGCCGCTGGGCGGCCGGGGCCCCCATCCCTTCCTGTCCTCCCAGGTCGCCAGGAGCCCGGGGCACAGGCCTGCAGGTGCAGGTGGGGGGCGCACAACCACGGGAGTAGGAAGAACCGGGCCAGAGGCCACTGCCCACAGCTCCAGGGTCAGCACCTGCCCCAGGCCTCTCCTGGGCGCCACAGCCTCTGCCCCTTCGGCCCAGGGAGGAGGAAGGTGGATGGGCCTCTGCTGCCACCAGGTCCCCGGACCAAAGAGCTGGTTGGGGGGAGTGGGGCACAGCCTGCCCCGGCCACACTGGTGAGCCAAGAGGCCCCCAGCCACCAGGGGATTCCCTGGGAGCCCAGAGGGGCAGCCCCCCAGGACGGGAAGCGGGGCAAGAGTGGCAACAAAATGAGTACATGAGGTCATGGGGGAGACTGGGGACATCGATGGCCACATCCAGGGGGTGGGTCACAAGGACACCGGCCACGGAGCAGGCATGGCTCTGCTGGGGAGGGGGATGAGGGCGAGGAGGTGGCCCCAACAGCGACGATGAGAGCGGGGGAGGTCCCGAGACGCACGCCTAGGAACGGACAGGTCTCGAGGCCTCCTCATGGACAATGGCGCAAGGGAGGTCACCATGGAAACGATGAAAAGAAAAACTAAGGTCGCCACAGTGAGGATGAGAGAGTGGAAGGACCTGGGGGAGGCTGACAGGCGGAGGGAGCACAGCGGAGCGGGCAGCAGGGAGCACAGGGCCGGGAGCATGGGGGGCCGCGGCGAGGAGGCCATGAGCCGGGCATGGACGGCGGACAGAGGGCGGCAGAGGGAGGACAGCAGGCCTAGCAGCAGAGGAAGTGGGAAGTTTGGGATGGGGTGGAGGGAGTGGGTGCCAGAAGTGCGGGCAGCAGTCGCTACATACAGGCACCGGGGGGGTGGCGGGGCTCTGCGGCAGCGGGCGCGGGCACAAGCAGGCAGCCCAGGGCGGTGTGTGGCTCGATGGGCACGAACAGAAACAAGACACTTCAAGTCTAGGCAGGCTCGGGGCTGGGGCAGTGCAATGCACGGCAGCGGCTGTCAGCAGGGACGAGGAGGGGCCGTGTGGCAGGCACAGGGGGGGACGGAGGTGGGCAGACCAGGCAGCGAGGTGCTGGGCAGGCGGAGGCGAGAATGAAGGAACGAGGCCTGGGGGCACTGGCTCTGTCTGGGGGTGGGGGGTGGGGGCTCTTGAGAGCCTGGCAGGGCCTGCCCGGCCAGCTGGACACAGGACCAGGCTGAGAGCCAAGCCCTGCTGCTCAGAAATAGGCGCACGGACTGACGCGAGAGCACCGAGGGACCTCCTGCGAATCCACACAGGCAGCTCACCCACCTGCGTCTGACCCGAGACTCCCAGAAGGGCCCAGCCACGTCCCAGCTGGAGGGTGAGAGTGTGGGCGGGCACTGTGTCTCACATGCTGGGCGTGGACAGCCAGCAGACTGGGGGCGCCTAAGGGCCGAGGGCCTGGGCCCCTAGCTGAAGGCACGGGGTCCCCAGTGTGAGGTCTGTGAGGAGGGGAGAGTACGAGCCTGTACGGGGCCCGAGGCTGGGTGGTGAGGCACAGGCTAGGCCTCAGGAGCCGAGGAGTGGGGAAAGACGTCTAAGCCCTTGGTGGACCACCTGCAGCGGTGGGTGGGAAGCATAAGGTCAGGGGAAAAGAGCGGAATGCGGACAAGGAGGCCTGAGCCCTGGTTCTGGCTCCGCCAGCTAACCCTTCACGTAGCCTTGGGCAAAAAACCGTGGGGGCTTGATCCACAACTGTGGAATCGAGGGCGTGAGGGGTGTTAGAGCAGACGTGTCCAAAGAGCCCTCAAGCTGGCCAAGAAGCCCTATGGGTCAGAGAGAGAGGCGGAAGTGTATGCGGCCGAGGCAGGAGGGTCTGTGTAAGGATGCTGCAAGCAGCCCCTTGAGGGCTCAGAGAAACCGTCTAGAAGAGTCTGGATGTGCAGGAGGGCACTGGGAAGGAGCCTACAGAAGCGGTGTGTGTCTGTGTAGATGGCATCTTCCTGCCTCGGGCTGCCCGTGGCCCAGTGTCTGTGGCTCTTGCCCGCCCCACCCCCCCGGCTGGGGGCTGGGCCCTGCCTCGCCAGTGCCGGCAGCCGGGCCGGCGCGAGGGCGGCGCACAGGGCACATACCGTGAAGATGTTGGAGCGCCGCTTGGACTGCTTGCGGACAGGTGTGGGGGTGGAGGAGGCCGCCACAGTCTCGATGCGCAGCTCCCGCTGGCTGACGCTGGGGGTGGAGGGGACTGAGGAGGAGTAGTCGCTGAAGGCGCTGCTGCCGCCATTCGTGGCCTAAGGACAGAGAGGGCTGCTGAGGGCTGCTCTGGAGCGGGGCACAGGGGCGGGCAGCAGGCGGGAGCTGGGAACCCCTGCGGTGTCGGGACCTGGCCTGGGGTCCATGGGGCAGCAGAGGAGGAAAGTGGCAGGGCCTGGAGGCTGGCGGGAGCCAGCCACCACCGCCCTGGGCTGCCCCACTAGGGCCCTGGCGAATCGGGTCAGGGTAAGAGCTAGAGGCCGGGGGAGCCCTGCCTCACAGGGGCGTCGGGCATGAGGGAGCAGGTCACCTCGGACAAGCCCCCAAGTCAGTGACATGTGTCGAAGATGTGGGAGGCCAGGGTGGGGCACAGGGAGCCCAGGGAGGCTGAGGTCTGCTTCCGGACAATGTGCGTGACAGGGGCAGGGTTACGGGAGAGCCGAGGCCGAGAGCGGCATGGAGCAAAGACTGTCCTCGGAGGAAGCAGCAGATAAGGGACAGAGGTGGGAAGGGAAGAGAGACGGAAGGGAGGGAGCACAGGATGGAGACAAAAAGCGCACGGCAGCACCGGCTACTCCAGGACTCGGGAAACACGCACAGCACAGCGAGGCCGAGGCCTGCTCCCTAACTGCCCGTAAGACGTTCACTAAGCAGAGAACACGTCCTGCCCTGACAGCCTCCTCGAATCCTCACCTGCACAAAAAGAGCAAAATGCCCCAACGGCTGTCGTTTGGCCTCAGAGCCACGTGGCGGGGCCCGCACACCGAGCTGGGACGTCCACCCCCTGACCTCTGCCAGCTGACGCGCAGTGCCTCAGGGCTAAGGCAGAAAGACCTAACGCTCTTCCTCCAGTCCAGGCGGGGATGCTCCCAGGGAAACGCCTGCTGTCCCCTGAAGCACTAAAGGAGGGGCTCTGGAAAAGCAACCAGGCCACCATCAGAAAGCTGGGGGACCAGGCGGGCCTTCAAGACTAAAGCCCTTGGCAGAAGTAGAGCGGAGACGGTCAGCTTGACCACTCAACCCAGCGCATGTGTGCCGACCCGGGGCTTTCTGCAGAGCAGGGGACGGAGTGGGGAAAGAGTCACAGAAGGAAGCGCCAGCCCAAATGGAGAACCCGAAACTAACCGGGGAGTAGGCAGCAAGCGGGCAGGCATCCCGGTGGTGTCATGGGAGGAACGCCGGCAGGACCTGGCTCAGAACACCGCTAACACCCCACGCGGCACAAAGGCCAGCGGCCCCTGTGGGGCCCGTGCTGCCCTTCTAACTGCAGGGCCCACAGGTGAGGAGGGAGCAGGCCCCCGGGGATGGGTGCACGGGGAGCAGCTCCCGAGCCAGCTGCGAGAGCGCCACCCCAAGCCAGCCTCCGGGCTGCCTCCGCTACCAGGGCTGTGGGGCAAGGGGGGCGGCAGCAGGGACGGGGGTGAGCAGGGAGGCGGTCACTGCGGGGCACAGAGGAGGCCAGGCCGGTCGTGCAGGCAACGGGGAGCGCAAGCCAGCACTTTCACACTAGTCACAAGGCGGGAGACCAGACGGGGTCGGGGGGACACGCAGGCAGACAGACAGGATGAGGAGGGCCGAGGCGGGGACACGCACAGGGGGCGGGGAGGCTGGCCGCACCTGGTTGATGTGCACGGCCGGGATGGAGGCGGCGGACACTGCCGAGTGGCTGGGGGAGTTGGGCAGTGACTTGCAGGGCCCGATGGCCAGCTGCTGCTTCTTCCGCAAGGCCACTACCTTCTGGGCCACTGCAGGGGACAGCAGAGTCAGTTACCCCTCTGGGGAGAAGGGAGAAGCCCAGCTTAGAGCCGCCCCCCAGGGTGCACAGCCCTGATGGCCACAGGACCTCCTGAGCCCCGGTTCGGGAGGCGCCACCCCGCGCCTGAGTTACTGGCCTGGAAAAGGGGGGAGCCTCCCGCCCCACGCCTGAGTTACCGTCCTGGAAGACGCGCTCCACGTTGAGCCCGTAGGTCGCGCACGTCTCATAATAGGTGCAGCGCTTCAAGTCTGTGGAGAGCTTGCGGGCCCTGCTGTCGTCGATGACCCGTGGGTTTGCGGCACTGATGGCATCTGTGGGGGGCGGGAGGGTGGGACTTAGCCTGCTGAGAAGCGGTGCCACGCACGGCGGACCGGGGCGGCGGGGGGGGGGGGGTGCGGTGTTGGGCCCGAGGGCGCGTGGGCCATGAGCCGGGCCAGTGGACGACGCAGAGCTCAAGCATACGGGCGTCCAGGCCTCGTTCCAGCTCCGCCACCGACTCAGAGTGGACACAAGCCAGCCGCTCCATTTATCCATCCCCCAAAACGTGGACACGCCCATCACACCAGGTGGGAGGCTCCAGCTGGGGAAGATCCAGCGCGTATGGAGCAAGGAGGTGGTGCCCGCTCCGGGGTGACACGGGAAGGGGGAGAGGGGAGAGCAGGTGGCTTCCTCCCCGGCCCCGCGGGCCCGCTCACCCTGTGTGCCCACCAACACCATGGGCACCTCGCTGGCATTACGGAAGCTGCAGAGCCGCAGAAAGTAGTTGTACACCGTCTGGAAACTGATTTCATCCTCCAGGCTGAACACGAACACCACCGCGTCCACCCAGGCAGCAAACTAGGGGGACGGAGCAGAATTACCACCTGCACCCGTTCCCGGGCCAGCTCCACACCCCTCTGCACACACATAGCTTTGCCCCGTCCCAACCAGATCCTTGGGAAAGGGGTGCCACGGGCCAGGGCTGGGGCAGGAGCATCACCTGGAGCTCGGGGGGGCCTCCTTCATCTCGGATCAGAAGCAGGTAACTTTGGCCATCCACCACAATCTCCTTCTTAAACCGACCCCCTAGGACAGAGTGCACGATCAGGCCCCAAGCTGGGAGAGCCCCCGGGGGCCAAGCAGTTCTGAAATCCAGCGCTACCAACAGAGAAGACAGGAGGACTTGGAAGGACAAGGGGCTCCAGCTCCCCGGCACAGCTGACAGCCAAGAGAGAGAGGGGCAGTGGCCAGCCTCAGAGCCCAGGCAAGCCCGTGATGCTCACCTTCAGGGGACTCCTCCTGGACATAGGTCCCTGTCAGATAGCGGTGCACCAGGGCCGACTTCCCGCTAGACAGGTTCCCCACAATGCCCTGTGGGAGAGGAAGGGGTGAGAGCAGTGGTCAGGGGCAGGAAAGACAGACCTTAAGAAGGACCGGAGCTAAGGACCAGGAAAGAAAGCTGAACAGAAGTGAGGGGCCGCGGAGAGAGGCCAAGACCAGAGGAGGAGAGGACTGGCAGTGGGGGAAGCCCGTCGCGCTAGCCCGTGCCCACCCCGCCCCAGGGCTGCCTGGGCGCCCCCCCCCCCCAGATCTCACTCACCACTTTAAGCTCCGGAACCGAGCGGCTCAGGGTCCACTCCTGGCTGTTCACAAAGGAGTCTGCAGGAGAGAAGGCCACCCATCAGACTGAGGAGGCACGCGCAGCTGTGCCATCCACCACCAGCTGTCTCCTATACTGCCCCTTCCTGAGCCAAGGCCAGAAAACAGCACGGTCCTGATGGGACCCCAACCCTCACCCCTAATTCTCTAGAGAGTGGCAGGAAAACGCTTCCGGAGAGGAGTGGAGCAATGATGGTCCTCAGGGAGAGGACTCTGAGAGGTGTGGGCCCAGTTCTCCTGGCCTGGACCCATGTCCCTCCTCCTCCTCCTGCTCCAGCAAGGCAAGCAGTTCCCACCAGGGCCCAGGTGAGAGGCTTCTCCAGTAGTTCTAAGCTCAGACCCAAGCTGGGCCGGGCACCTGGCAGCTGGGCAGGGGGGCCAGCCTCCCACAGCCAGCGAGTAGGAACAGCTCACCCTCACAGGGTGGGGCCACCCACCACATTCCTAGGCGGGGTGAAGAGGGAGGAGCCCTCACCGGGGCCTTGTTCTGTGAGGGGCAGGTTGAATGGGGAGCTATCTATCCTGCCTGACTGGCCCTCCTCCTCAAGCTTCTCCTTGGTGGGAGGCCACCACTCTTTTCTTTACCAGAGAGCCGCCTCCTGGGCTGCCTGAACTCTGGTCCAGGCCATTCTCAGGTCTGGCCTGCCTTTGGCAGTGTCCTGGGGAAGGGAAGCCTGCAGGCTCCCCAGAGCTCCCTCCAGCCCCACCGCCAGCCCCACTTTCTTTACTCTTTGCATTGTAATGGACATCCTCCAGCCAGCTCCAGATGGCCCTGGCCTGGGCCAGCCTCTTTGCTCACTTCCCCTCACACAGGCTGTCTCAAAGAGTAGCTACCACCATTGATCGATCGGGTCCATAAACAGTCCCTCTGCTCACGTGCAGAGGCAGCTAGAGGTGAGGACTCAAGCCCACCTGGAAGCTAGAAACATGAGCACTCTCCGCCCCTCCCCAGCCTCAGCTCTGCATGTGCCAGAAAGTGAGGAAGGAGCCCCTCCGTCCTGGTCTCACACTCCCACCATGCCAAGGGCCAGTGGTAGCGCCTGGTGGCAGGGGACCCAGACTGGACGCACCTGCAAGTCCTCCTCTGCCACAGCCACCTTCTGGGACCCATGAGCCACCCAGAGCGCGCCGGGGCCCCGGTCTCACTTGGTCCCCGGCCCTCGCGGCACACCCACCTCTCCCAGGCAAGCTCGGTTTGTTTTCACACCCGCTCTCAACAAGGGACTCCAACCAGAGAGGCCTCCCGGGCCAGGCGCTCTCCCTTACCGCTCTGCGCGCCCAGGAGCCCGGGGGCCGCGGCCGCCCGGCGGCTCCACAGCGGCTCCGCGGGCGCGGGCTCCCTCCGGCGGAAGCGGCTGGTGAGCAGTCTCCAGAGGCCGGCGGCGGTGCGGGGTCGGCCGGGCTCGGGCGCAGCGCGCGGGGCCTCGGCACCCAGCAGCAGGTCGCGGCGGCTAGGGAAGGCGCCCAGGGAGCTGGCGTCGCCGTCGCTGCGGGTGCGCGCCCGGGGCAGGAGCCCCGACTCTGCGCGCCGGATCTCCTGGCCGCGGCGCAGGCGGAAGCTGAAGCTCTTCCTCAGCGCGGACAGGCCGCGCCGGGGGCTCGGGGTGCTGCGCCCGCTGCCGCCGCCGCCGCCGC